TATTGGAGTAAGGCCTTACTGTGTTAATAGAATTTCCTTGGAAACGCTTTGGAATGAAGTAATTGTGTTCCAAATTCCCTTCCAGATGCTCTCCCAAGGAAATCTTGGTACTTTTGTGACTCTAAATAGACACGAAATTTTTGAAAACATTTCATAGGCAGTTCCAAGCTAATCATTCCTAAGTATATACAGATCACTCAGCCTGGTAGCAATGTTCTACAGGGGCTGTCATAATAAAGTACTATAGGGTGGCTTAAACAGCAAAACTTGTGCGGTGCGGAGACTCGAAGTGTAAGATCAAGACATAGCGTTGATTTCTCTGAGGATGGTGAGGTAGACTTGGTCCCCACTGGTCTCTCCTTGTTTCCGGTAGTTTGCTGGCAGTCCGTAGCATCCCTTGGCTTTTGGACCTATCACCCTAGTCTCAACCTTCATTTTTTCAGACGGCATTCTCCCAGTATGCATTTCTATTTCTATTTCTGTGTCCAAATTTCCCCATTTTATGCAGACACCAGTCATATCGGATGGACACCCCTTCTTCTGTATGACCTGATCTAAATAATGATACCTGCAATGACCCTATTTCCAGTTGAGGTCATTTCCTGAGGAACTGGGGGCTAGGATGTCAACATAGGAATTTGGGGGGACACAACGCAACAGTTAACACTCACCATGCATTTTTATTGAGAGAATATTACTGGTGCATGAAACATCACTAAGCTAGGCAGCTTATATGTACCTGTCCTGTGTGGCCAAAGACATGAGCAAGGGCAGGGCAGAGTCCTTACAGATGTAACAGTCATTGTGGGAAAATGGCCAGAGCGCATGTGGTAATGAAGGATACACTGTCGTGATTAGTAAATAATGGGATGTGGGAATGAAGTCTTTTGAATATGAATCTACCATCACATTTTAGCCAGCAGGTAACTCGGTGGTTACAATGCTGGATTCTCACATGACCAACAGTGGTCTGAGTCCACAACCGGGCAGCTTGAGAAATCACACATGGTGCATGTGCATGCTCACCCAGGAATCCCGAGAGGAAAATGGAGAAGGGAATGCAGTGTGGCCAACCCCCTTGGGGGTTGATTTCTCACTTATCCTCTCTTTGTCTCTCTGGCGAGTACACGTGCCCTATGGCAAAAACAAAAACAGAAGTGGACAAAAATTTATACTTTAATTTGATTTCTTAAACACTTGCTTAAGGAAACCATTGGCTAGGACCAGCTTTTTATATTTAAACATATATGCAGTATTGATATATGTCTTTATGTATGTGTACTTATAGGAATGTAGACATAGATATGTAAAGCTGCATATCTATTTTTATATTTAATTTGTGTTTCTTGAATATGCATTGATCTCTAATTCTACACTTTTACTCATGATGGTATCTGATCAAGTCCACTTCTAATTTGCTGTGGCAGGATTGGTTGTCTTACAGTAGTAATATGTAAATATTTGATTGTTGGCAATATTTTTTAGTTGTCTAAAGATTTCGCTTTAAGAGAAATTCATGAGGTAAAATTTCTGAATTATAGAAAATTGTATTATTTTCACTGCCTGTTAGAATTCATGTGGATTTGGAGTAGAGTGGAAAGGATTGATGGGACATGATAAAAGTTTTTCTGGACTGTGTTTGGTAGGCTCCAAATCTCCTTTCTGTTTTATTAAGCTATAGAGGTTATTCATAAAGTGGCATCTTTCTCTGGCTATCATAGCATCGTAGGGAGGCAATTTTTAAAAAATTAAATAACCTTTAACTTTAGGATAGTTTTAGACTTAACAACCAAGTTGTAAAGGTAGTGCAGAAAATTTCTCTATTCCCCTATGCTTAATATCTTACATTCCTGTGGTACATTTGTCACTACCAAGGAACTAAAATTAGTACATTACTATTAACTAAATTCCACATTTTTGGATTTCCCTACTTTTCCCTAATATCCTCTTTTCTGCTCTAAGATCCAATTTACAGTCCCAGTTGCACTAAACTGTCATGTCTTCTTTGGCTTCTCTGGGCTATGACAATTCCTGAGACTTTCATTATTTTCAGTGACTTTGATTGTGGTTTGGAGCAGTACTGGTCAGATATCTTGGCTGGTAATCGTCTGGCAATATGCAGTGCAATACTCTCCCACCATGCTGGGCCGTGGCAGTGGGCACGGCTGCTAGACAGCCACACTGTCATGACCGTAAGCCACACGAGGTGTACTGTGTCGCAGTGCTTTTTGGATATTATGTTTTTGAATCCCATCATGTCTGTAAAACAGCTGGCTTCGGCTAAATATTTTCAGCGTATGCTGGATTTATGTGGATGTCTAACCCCATTGAAAGTTGGGGAGCATCTTTGTATATAGATCCTGCACATGGCTTTTGAAAATGCTCAAAATAGAGACAATACTTGCATTAAGGAAACAACCAAAGCTAGATTTTGAGATGCTTGAATAGGGGCCAGCAGATGGCGTAGCAGTTACATCATGGGATTCCCACATGGCTGACTCAGACTGAAGCATGATCATCTCTCTGGGGAGGGGGAGTGATTTCTCACTTTCACTCTATCTCCGTCTCTCTCTCTCAGGCAAGCACATGTACCCTAAGGTGAAAACCTCTAGAGAGAGAGAGAGAGGCTTAAATATTTATTTGAAACATACTTTATTGGCAAAGTTGGAAAGCCTTGAATGCAGTGTTAGCATTACAGATGGCACTCACATTCTAGCATGAACTTGGCGTTGGACTGCTCCCGCAGAATTAGCACACATCTGCAGAGTCAGTCAGAGGACAGTTGAAGTGCTGTCGTCTCCCAGACAAGGACATAGATAACATAAAGTTCAAAGCCATTAAAATAGTCCTAACACTGAAGATTAAAAATGTATTTTAATGATTCATTAAACTCGTGTAGTAGTTGTTTCCTGAGAGTCTGCCACATGCGGAGGGAGGGTCGGTCTGGTGTTGGTGGTGAAGTTCCCACCATGCAGAGGGCACACAGACTCCCACAGAAATGAGTTGTTCAGGGAGAGCGAAACAGGGAGGAGTGGCTAGTAAGATTAGTGGTGTTGGTTCACTCAGAACTAGGTGTATCCTTTACAGAGCTTTCCTAATTCTGGAAGGGAGGAAGAAAATACCATGAATTTGTAAAAGTCAATGAGATTAAATCTGTGTACTCAGCAGTGACTTTTGCTATTTGGTAGATCTGTATTGAGCCCAAATTGTTAAGAGTAGACCAACTACAGCAATTAATGCGGAGGTTGGTAATCTAATGCCCAATGCGTTTTCATCTTAATTCATTGACTTTCTTGATTGTAATGAGTATGTTTAAGAATTTCTGTGTTGGGGCCAGAGTGGTGTGGTGGTCATGCAACTGTATCTACATGGGAAGGTCCCAGAATCATGTCTTGGGACTCCCTGTACTTGCAAAGTGTGTGTGCACCTGGGATCTCTGCTGGCTGAGGCTGGGGGTGGATCACAATGTGAAGACTCTCTGAGGGTCTGAGGGTGGTTTTTTTTTTTTTTTTTTTTCCTCTCTCTCTCCATCTCTCTCTCTTTCATGGAGAAAATAAGTAAATAAACTTTAAAAATGCCAATGTCAAACTTCGGTCTGTTCCTCTTGAATTACTGGGCAGTTCACTTAATAGTGAAGATATACTTGCATCATTTCATTGCATTTTTTGTGAACCCTAAAAGTCATTTTTGAGAATAGCGTTATAATATTTCTATCTTGAGGATAATTACAATTCTGGTTTTGCTCAGGATTTATTTCTTTTTGTTTGTTTTTGATTTTTAATTTTAAAAGTTTGTGTCTCATAATCTCTGTCACAGATTATTTAAAATTTTACTTTTTATATTGTAACCAGTACCTTCATCAGTTTTAAGTTTTTTACTATTGTAACATTTTTCTGGTTATGAAAGTAACATTTTTGAATAGCATTCAAAAATATGTTTAAATAACATTTGGAAGATAGAAGAAAGGTATAAAGAAAAAAAATGACCAACATCCCTAATATTGTAGCTACTTAGCCACTTGCAAATATTTTATATATTTGCTTCTACTTATTTTTTTAGAGGTTTTTTTTTTGTTGGTTTTTTTTGTCGTTGTTGTTTTTTTCCCTCTGTCGGGCATGTGCGTTCACCAGAGAGACAGAGACAGAAAGTAAGAAAAGTAAGAAATCACTCCCCCAGAGGGGATGGCCACCCTGCAGTCCCTTTTCCTCCAACCTCCTCTTGGGTTTTTGGGCATGCATGTACATGTGCCCAGCATGAGTTTGAAGTTGCCAGGTCCAGGACTTGAACTGTTGTCTGCCATGTGGGAATCCAGCGATGTAATCATTATGCAATCTGCTGGTCCCCGCTTCTACTTTTTAATGCAACTTTTTACCCTATTGAAATAAATTAAACTGCGCTTTTATTATTATTATTGTTTAATTTTCTATGAAATACATATGCTCACCACAAAGAGAGAGAGAGAGAAATAGAAAATGTGAGTAAAGCACCCCTCCTCCCTCGGGGATGGCCACTCTGCAGTCTCTTCACCTCTTTTCTCCTCTTGGGAAGATGCATTTTTCAAGCCATCAGGTCTGGGAGTTGGACTTCACAGTCAGCCCTGTGGGACCCAGCTGCCTTAACCTTCATGCCACCAGCTTTTTAAAATTAACATTATGGGCATTTATCCCTAGATGATATAATTCTTTGAAAACATAGATTCATATGTATTTTTTTCAAAGCGGTCAAAAGATACTTTGTCATATAAATATGTTAAATTTTGTTAAACTATTTTTATATTATTCATTCTTAATTTACTTCAAATTTTCACTATTAAAAACAATTCAGAAGCATCTTTGTAGATAACTTTTTTCCCTCTCAAATTCAGTTCATTTCTTTTGGATAGTAGATATAGAAATTGACTTACTGGGCCTAACAATAGGAATCTTTTCTTTCTTTATTGACTTCCATTGAAAATAAATGCTATTGTATAACAAGTTCATTCTTTTTTCTTTTTTCCTCAGCTCACTACCCTGGGAAATCTTACACCCTCAAGCACTGTGTTTTTCTGCTGTGATATGCAGGAAAGATTCAGGCCAGCCATCAAGTATTTTGGGGATATTATTAGTGTGGGACAGAGACTGGTATGTTTGTTTATTTGTTACAATTTGCTTATGCCTGATAAACATTCATATGTATACACATATGCACATCACTAATTGTTTTTGTTTTTGGTTATTTTTTTCAGTTGCAAGGGGCCCGTATTTTAGGAATTCCAGTTATTGTAACAGAACAGTACCCTAAAGGTCTTGGAAGCACTGTTCAAGAAATCGACCTAACAGGTGTGAAACTGGTACTTCCAAAGACCAAATTTTCAATGGTGTTACCAGAGGTAGAAGCAGCATTAGCAGAGATTCCTGGAGTCAGAAGTGTTGTATTATTTGGAGTAGAGGTAAGTACCTGTTATTGTATGCATGTATCTCATGTATAGAAAATGGTATTTCTGGAATGTAATTTTGCATATAGAATGGCAGGTAGGTGGCCATACTGGTGAAAATTAGCAGCTGCTTATTAAGTATTCACTATTTGAACAGCACTTATCTAAACACTTTATAGCTATTAACTCATAAAACCCTCACAATTGTGTAAGCTAAGTATTCAGTTCTCCTTGTTACAGACGAGGAAACTAAAATACAGTCATTATGTACGTTGCCCAGGGTCTGATAGCTAGTATGGGATGGAAGCAGATTGACCTAGAGCAGTACTGTTAACCATTACTTTGCTATAGGCCGCATGTGCTTGCTGGAGAGACAGACAGACAGAATGTGAGAAATCACCCCCTGGTGATATCCATGGTGCAATCCCTCCTTCTCCATTTTCCTCTCAGGATCTTGGGCATGCATGCACATGTGATTTTTGTGAGTTTGAGGCCACCGGGTCTGTGACTCGAACCGTGATTGGGTTCAGGACTCCAACCATGGTCGACTCCATGGGAGTCCAGCGATGTAGCCATTACGCCATCTGCTGGCCCCAAGGCCTATGTGTTTTGATAGGAGTTTTTGTTTTATTTTGAATTTTTGCTAGAGGGAGTATGTGCTCACTGGAGACAGACAGAAAATGAGAGAAAGAGGGAAAATGAGAAAGCACCACCCGATGGGGGATAGTCACACCACAATCCCTTCTCCTCTATTTCTCCTTTTTTTAGTTTGGACATACATACACATGCTCCAGGTGAGTTTTCAAAATGCAGGCTCCAAGACTTAAACTGTGTAGTTGGCCATGTGGGATCCAGCCTTCTTAGTAGAAAGATACAGTGTCAGATATATATTGAATATTTCTGTACCTCGAGTTTAATAATGACAGTGTAGAGGAAGCCTGTCATATAACTATGCCAACCAAACATCGTGACTGCCTTTTGTTCATCATGATTTAACCTCATACTTAATCAAAATTATCTTTGAGCAGCTCCCCAGTGCTAATTTCTTTTTAAAAAAATTATTTAACTTTATGTATGTATGTACGTATTTATTTTTAATTTCACCAGAGAGAGACAGAGTGAGAGAGAGAGAGTGGGAAAGTGAGAAAGCAAGCTGCAGGTCTGGAATTCCAAGGACTGTGGTTGGCCATGTGGGAGCCCAGCGCCCTTAACCACCACACCACCTGCTGGACCCCACTAGTGCTACTTTTAATGCAGTGTCAGTTGATAATTCTCCAAAGCTATCTTGCCATGTAAAGATAAAGTTGACATTATGGCAATATTGACATCTACGTTCATTGGTGGTATATGTAATCCACCTAATGTTGAGGTATATTTTTATTCTATGGTATCTGCTAGTGGACTCTTACTGGTTAGTACTTACCAAGGTGGAATCAGTGTAGTATATTTGCTAGTGATGTGAGCAGCATAGCTTTTGCCTGTGCCATGGTTATTTTTAACTTGGCCTACCTTCACTGTGGTGTGCCTGTCATGACTTGGTTTTCCCACAGTCTTTCTCAGTCTACATTAATGCAGTCTCATTTTTTTGTGTTGAGCACTTGGTATGACTACAGAAATAAACCCAGTTGTAAGTGGCACTGAAACTGAATAGTAGTCGTGAGCTCCATGAAGGTCATGCCTCTGACACGCAGGGAAGTCTGAAACAAATTCTTACAGAGCTCCAAGAATATGTTCAAGGTGCATAGCATCAGAAACACTGAGGCAGTCCTCTTCCTGATTTGACAAATGGATAAACCAAAGCTAGAGATGGTGTTTTTGGCTCAAGACTCAGTCTCGCTAATTAGAGGCAAAACCGGATACAGAATGAGGTTGTTAGGTTTCTGGTGCCCTTTCTGCTTTGTCACGTTGCTGTACATGTTAAAAATAGTTTCCGTTGGCTGTGTTATTACATACGGCTTTTTACCTTCTACCAGACTCACGTGTGCATCCAGCAAACAGCCCTGGAGCTGGTTGGCCGTGGTATCGAGGTTCATATAGTTGCTGACGCCACTTCATCAAGAAGCATGATGGACAGGATGTTTGCCCTTGAGGTAATCGTGTTGCTTGAAAAGGAATCATTTCTCAAGTTTCCCAAGTAAATTAGAAGAGTTCTGAATAACTAGCAATGAATACTGAGTAGTGAAATTTTACCTCTGACAGTATCAAACTCCTCGCCTTGACCTTGCACAGAAGGCCTCTCCAACATCTTCTTTCTAATAATCTTCTCTTCTCCCGGGACCTAGATTTCCAGTGATGCCGAAAGCTCTGTTAGGTTTTTCGTCATAACTCTGCACTTGTTTTACACATGGACCCAAAGAGATTTTGAGAAGTCTTAACCTGAACTGTTTATAAAGATTTGCAAATTAAAAATTAATTTATATGAGTTTTACCTAGCTAAGATGTGGCCAAACACAGGGGTAGACTGGACCTAAGCCTGTTTGACCTTATATTAAATTTCCTCTGACTCTAGTATGTTGGACTAGGAAGTGCTTCCTAACCTTGGACTCTACCCACATACTGTGTTGCGTGGCTCTCTGGCACTAGAGTGTCACAGTGTCCTAGTGCATTAGGGAGTAAATGATTCTTTGTCAGCATTGCTTTACTGTTGTCTCTCTCAAGCATTTTCTATTCCAAGACTGTAAAGAAGCAAACTAGCACACTATCCTGGGAAACATTCTCTCCATATTGTGAATCTCTCTCTCTCTCTTTCTCATATTTAATTCTAATGCTGTAATAATTTTAGAGTGTGCATGGAGATTTATTTTTTTTAAAGAAGTATTTAATTTTATTTATCATTATTTTTAATTGCCACAGGGCACATGTGCTCACCACAGAGAGAAAAAGAGAGAGAGGGAAAGGGAGAAACCAAGCTACCCGATCCAGGACTTGAACCACACACAGTCGGCTATGTGGGAGTCTAGCATTTTCACTGCCATGCCATCTGGTGGCCCTGTACATGTGGATTTAATTGCCGAATTTTTTTACTTTACTGAGAGTGAGAAATAACAGATTACTCTGAGAACCTCCAGGGTCCCGGGCACCAGCCAGCCTATGAGTGCTCTCTCTGTCGGCTTGCTAAACCTTCTCTTTGGCCTCAGGTGCTCTCCAGAGTTTGCTCTGCAAGTTTAAACAGTAGTGTGGCCAGTCCTGCTGCTTCTTTGTTCCTTTAGAACATAACGACTTAGGATAGGTTCCAAGACTATCCACATTGCCTATGAAGATTATTATACCAATAAGATTTATAGTTATTGTTGAAACTTCACTGTGCCAGGGCCTGTCTGTGCTTTTATTCAGTAAATGTTTTCAAAGCACTTACCATCTGTCAGGCATTGCTTTGAACTAATAATTATATAGTAAATGCAAAAATAATGTAGTAAAACCCTCCCTTGTCCTTGTACTTCTGTGGAGTTTTTAGTATTTGGAAATCTAATGAGTTTAGTCTTTTCCCCCTTCTCTAAGACGTTCATGATTGTTCCTTCCTGCATTTTTAGGTTTGTGGGTCAGGGCATCCTCGCTTTTCCTTTGGCCTAGTTGGACTGGTTGTGCAGGTGTAAGGGGAGAACTTCAGAAGCCTAATGCTTTGTGCCCAGGGGCATTAAACAGCCAGAGTATACATTGCCCCTTTTTATCCCAGGAGAGAAAGTGGGCAGGGACCAGTGTTGGCAAGGTGGGGGCGTGTAGCTGCTCTGTCCCTGCTCAGGCACCCTTTCCATTGGGGGAGGACAGGGAGGCACAGTGGGAAGATCTGTGAACCTCAGCCCTCCTTCTCCTAAACTCTAGTTTTCAGCTAGAGTGTTTTATTTAGCTTTCTAAAATGTATTTCTGTGACACAAGTGTCCCAGCCTGCCCTGTCACTGGCCCAACTCTTGGCATCACTGAGGACTGCTGGGGTAGAATAGACCAGGCTGGGTTGATAGAGTACTGGGGCAGATGGACTGGCTTTTTTCTAGGTCACCTGATTTCTTCGTTAGACCTGGGAACAGTTTTCTCTCCTTCCTGCCTCACTGAGAAACTGGCAAGGTTATGCAGAGACCTTCGTTGGCAAGTTGGGGTGTGTAAATAAAGCTCTTCCACTGAAGCATTGAAAGTCCCTTGGTTCCACAGAGTATTTCTCACTTTTCCATTCACTGTTTCTGTATCCCCTTCCCCGCTCCCCACTCCCCACCCCAGCACACATACCCTAAGGCAAAAACCTCTGAAAAACAAACAGGAGGGCAGTCAGGCCAGGCTACTGGTGAGGCCCTGGCCAGGGCAAGGCTTGGATGAGTGGGCACTAGGTACCGTTGTCAAACCAACTGGATTGTACCTTGTCTTAAATTAAACCCCTGCTTTCTGTTAGAAACAAGTGTAGGATCTTTTGACATTTTTAATGGGTTTTGATGAGATAGTTGTCTAAAAAGCAGGGAGGAGGAAATTGGAATTTCCGGAAGTCTTTAAAACACTCAGTGATAACTCACCCATGGTGTCTGTCCAAGAACAAAGGGCACCACACCCTCGCTGCTTCCCCACTTCCTACTTAATTCCCTGCTGGTTTTGTTCAAAATTTTTGAGGGTTATGGTCAGCAGTCTAACATCCTTTCCCATACTGCTCATTGAGGTTCAAGCTTGGTTTCTGGTAACTAGGTTATGGTTTTTTGGTTTCTGGTAACTAGGTTATTTTTTTTTTAAGTTTTATTTATTTTAATTTGACCAGAGACACACACACACACAAACCCAGAGAGAGAGCGAGAAAGTAAGCCGCCATGTCCAGGACTTGCACCATGGTTGGCCATGTTGGAGTGTCCAGCACCCTTAACCACCATACCACTTGCTGGATTTCTAAGTTATGGTGTATTCTCCCTGCCACATCCTTGAGAGAAAGGATGAGTCTGCCCTTGGGACCATTGAGTCTGTGGTTGTACAGGCTTCTGAAGGGAGATTTACTTCCACTCTTCGGGAACAACCTGGCTCTTCAAGTGCTTCCTTCTTTATGACAAGAGACAGATTTAGTCGTCTTTGCCTTGCCTGAAAGTTGTCTCTAACCACCTTCTCTTCTTTGGGTTTTACAGTGGATGTTTCTTGAGGTAACAGTTTGCCCTTTTTTCTTCCCAGGGTTTCTAATAACAGATATTAATATATCCTGAGAGTGGTTCTCTGTTCTAGAAAAAAAATTTCCCTCCCCTTTCTTCCACTTTCTGTTCTTTTTCCCTGTCCCTCCCTCTGTTCCCCTTTCCCTTCTTGCCTTCTCCCTCCTCAAGCTCTCTGTCCTTAGTCCTTACTTATTATGATTCCATTGGAGCTTTTTGGGCAAGGACATTCTTTGACCTGTCAGTGAAACTTTACACAGCACTAAATTTTATGTTCCTGTTTAGTGATTCTAAAAAGTTTATGATGGCAGTGGTTCCTTTATCCAGGGGCACATTTTCAAAGCTCTCGGAAGGCTCTTTCCTTCTACCACCAATCATTTCTAGACAGGAAACTCTTACTGATGAGAGCAACTTGTGCTCCATGTCACATGTTTGGGGGCAGAAAAAGGAAATTTAAAATGATGATTTTAATTCCTGTAGTAGTTTTAGTATAATTAAAAACTTTAGTCATATGAAATTGGATAATAAATTACTAATGAAGGGCTCTAGGCAGCTACAGGTATATCCATAACACAACTAATAAGGTATATCTCTCTCTCTATCTATCTCCTAAATGCCCAGAATACCAGGCATGAGTATTAAGACATCATAACCTCATTTATTATCTCAGTTAAAATAAAGACAGGGAAATGTAGACAGAAGCACCATTTTAAATCTCAGTAGTCGAAACAGAAATGAAAGAGTTGAATGAATTTAGGAGTAAGTCAAAAGCAGCCCTCATTTGAGTGGATGAACAAATCTGCTAGTGCTTAGGGAATAGTAGCAATGACCAGTGTCCAGATGTGTAGTGGTGAGGGTGTAGTTTCCACCAGCTCTCTCTTCTTCATGTTTTGTAGTCATTTGCCTTGCTTCCCCTCTTGTCCTTGGCATACACGGGTCATAATATTGGGTACCTGTTTTTATTTTACTCATTTCTAGTCATACTGGAATCATCAGAATGAGTTTATGTTACAGCTGGTTTTGAAATCTATCCCCATCACTGTCTTTGAGAAGCACGATTTTAGTAAAGGATGTGAATTATAATGTGCCAGCATGCTTTTGCACTTTATTTATTTATTTAAATTATTTTTATTTAATCTTTTTATTTAGCATTATTGCTTTTTAATTTGCTACAGGACATGTGCACAAGAGAGAGAGAGAGAGAAAGTGAGAAGGCAAGCCTCCAGGTCCAGGACCTGAACCGCAATCAGGCATGTGGGAATCCAGCACCTTAACCACCATGCTACTTGCTGGCCCATACTTTTGTATTTGAAAATACTGTTTATTTCCGTGCTCACGTTTTAATTTGTCTTTATCTTTTTTGCCCCTGAAAGCGTCTTGCCCGAACTGGGATCATAGTGACCACGAGTGAGGCTGTTCTGCTCCAGCTGGTGGCTGATAAAGACCATCCAAAGTTCAAGGAAATTCAGAATCTAATAAAGGCAAGTGCTCCAGAGTCAGGTCTGCTCTCCAAAGTATAGGACATTCGGAGGACTGGATGCCACTCACCGTCAAGTGACAGGACTGTAAGACCAGACAAGCTCTCGTCTCTAGTAGAATTAAAGTGTTAAGTCAAATCAGCTCCTTTTAGCGCCTCGTAGTAGAACTTAACTGGCTAGACCATCTGGGTACCAGCATTTAGTCATAATACAAATGTCAAAGGCTTCAGGTGCTGCTTACCTTATTTTTTTTTTTTTTTGTTAATGTGCTTTTATTTATTTTTAAAAAATTACAATGGAGGTGCCTGTTTTGTCTATACTGTATACACTGATCATGACTTCCAAAGTGCACACTTGTGAAGTGTTCTTAAATTGTGCACATGAAAGAAAAAATGTGCTCATACTGAATTTGACTTTTATATTATAAGATGTATGTTCCAATGTTGAGGTGGATTCAATGCTTTTACTTTATAAGTTGACTGAAATAAGATTATTATATGTGAATTAAACACAGTACTCTGGGTCACGTTTCCCATCTCCCTCACAATGTTGTCGTTGTATTGAACTAGTTGTGTTGATCTAACTGGTCAAGTTAAGTTGAATAATTACATATCTTTCTTGGTCATACTGGTATTCTTACTCTGGTCACTATCATTAATCTTCTGTTAATGTTCTCTGTTGTAGCTGAAATTTCACTTAAAAGACTCATTAGGTTATTAGTTATTTTAATTTTGTAAGTGCAGTGGTTTATAACTGCATATGATTGGTGGAGGGCCTCTTTACCATCTTTGAAGTGTGACTTGAGCTTTACTGCATCTTGAATGTGTCTTCCAGTACACCCAAGATGGAGTACAAGAATAAAAGCTAGGTAAATGTGTTACAAAATGTCACATTCTGTTTTATATTTTCTCTGCCTACCCTCAAAATATTATCGTTAATGCAAAAGATGTCACTAATTATTTGGTTGTATTAATTTTGTGGTCATCATGACCCTTCAGTAAATGTATTTTCATTAATACTTATGAGAGGGTTTTACAACTTTTTAAAAAAATATGTGAAATGTGAAATATTGCTGTCTTTTATATTAAAGTAATTAAAGCACATGTATTAAGTGAATAAAATTATTTTGTCCCTCACAAAATTGTTCTATACTCTTCCAGGGAGTCTAATATTTATTTAATAGTAATAAAACGGTAATATTTATGATCTTTTAACTCACAGGAATTTTCACAGAAAAATGATTTGGGGCCTGCTGGTGGTGTGGAGGTTGAGGCAGCTGGGTTCCACGTGACTGACTAGTTTGAGTCCTAGATCCAGTAACTTGAGAAACATGTCGGGTGCACATATGTGCATGCCCAAAATCCCCAGAGGAGAATGGAGGAGATGACATAGCGATGTGGGTATCCTTCCTTGGGGATACTTTCTCACTTTCTCTGTCTCCAGGAAGCACACACATCCTGTAGCAAATTGGGTGGAAAAAAAAAAGTGTCCATAGTAGGAGAAGATGGGTTTTATTAAAGGGTCTTCTTCATTATCTGAGACCAGTAGAAATATATTTTTTTTCTTTTGTCAATGGTAATAAACAGCAGCCTAACATCCTTCTTGTTGGTATGTTTGAATATTTTTATTTTAGACATTGGTAGGTCAGAAAGGTATATCACAGATTGCCTCAGGCAATCTCCATAGCCTAGTGGTTAAGGGTGTCAGAACTCACACGGCCAACCATGGTTCATATCCTGGCCCCAGAGGCTTGAAAAACATTCCAGCATGTGTACCCCCAAATAGGATGGCGAAATGGAGGACAAGGGATTGTGCCATGATCATTCCTCACTGGGGGAGTCTTTTCATCTCTCCCTCCCTTTCTCTCTCTCTCTCTCTCTCTCTCCCCCTCTTCTTTCTCTTCCACTATCTCTCTGGCAAGAGGAAG